ATTAAAAGTCATTAAATCATTATTTTTTAAATTAAGGCCTGAATTGGCATTAAAATTCATTAAATGTGATTATTTTGGCATTTAAAATACTTTATTAAAAAAATGTTCATAAAAACAATTTCCTAAATGATATATATATTTGCAAATATGCAAATATATCGCGATATATTTGCGCAGAAATGCTTCCGGCTGATCGTCAAGCCGTATGTTTGGTAAAAGAAGCTCAAGGCGAAGAAAAGGCTGTAGAATTGGGAAAATGCTAATTTTAACAAAAGTGGCTTGAAATCGAGGAATTGCTGCCTGCCGACAGTAAAGATGAAGAAGGAATTTGCTGTGTATATATGAGAGTCATGGGTACTTGTTGCATTAAAATTATTTGTAAGAGCATTAAAAGAGCATTAAAAAGCATTAAATTAGAGTTGCTCATTCCTGTATAAACCCTGTAAATGTTCTTTGAATATTTTGAGGTGTGTAACCTTTTTAGCAAACCGAGCAGGATCTCTAATGAATAACCAAACACCCCCCAAGCTTGTTTTAGTGTTTGCTTTGAGAGAAGGTCTCAGTTTTCCAGTTCATGTTTGGTAAACCTGGGTTACCTGAAGCAAAACTACTGATGATACAGAGGTGGTTTCAAATCAGAATAGGAAGGAAGGAAGGAAGGAAGGAAGGAAGGAAGGAATCAGCATCTGGCCTCAGCTTTTTCTGCATTAGTTTTTGCAGATTCCATTGTTCATTAATCCCTCTTATCAATGCTTTGTCAGTCATTCCTTTTTAGTGGTCATATGGGAGCAGAAGCAGCGTTATACCATGTTATGAGAGTATCACTTTAAAACAGAGTTTTTCCTCTTTTTTTCAAGTCACAAGAAACAATTACTGAGTTGACATTTATCAATCTCCTTAGCATTTGTAGACAATGGAGACCCTCTGTGTAGCTCTGACATTTCCTAAAGGTTTGTGGAAGTGAAATGTTGAGTTCTTAGGAAGGCTTGACTTCTACACCAAAGAGTGTTGCTGAGAGCTCATCCTGATACACCAGAGAACGTGGTGTACTGTGGTCACCAGTCAACGTACGGTTTGATGAAGCACTTCCCAGTCAAACACCAGCTAAATGGCAGCCAATTTCCAGCGTCTGGAGTGACCCTCTCCTTCTCCTGGACGAGCATATTTTTTAACTCTGACTCCACCCTGAATTACCGGGTCTGACCAGGAGATGGCACTTCTCCTTAGATCTTAATGTCAGCAAATCATGGCAGCATATTTTAGTACAAAGATTGATGTTAGGTGACCAGCCAAGGAAAAGTGGGGAAATATTGAATGGCTGCTACTGTATATGCCAACAGGTTTATGTGGTGGAGGAGCTGGTTTCTATGTATGTTCAGGTGAATTTAGTTAGTTTGGAAATTGGTGTTTGGTTTAGTTTGATGTAGGGCTGCAACAACGAATCGATAAAATCGATAAAAA